CGCCCCGGGCCGCCGCGGGCCGGAGGAAGAGCCCCCGGCCGCGGCCGCCTCGGGTGCACCGCCGCCACGGGGCGACGAGGAGGAGCCGGACAGCGCCCAGGAGAAAGGCAAGAGCTCGGGCCCCAGCGCCAGGAAAGGCAAGGGGCAGATCGAGAAGAGGAAGCTCCGGGAGAAGCGGCGATCCACCGGCGTGGTCAACATCCCCGCCGCAGAGGTGAGCGCGGCGCCGGCGGCCGGTCTGTGGCCAGCGGCCGCCACCTTGTGTCTTGTGCCGGGGAGCGCCCTGGTCTCCGGGGCCCACAGCTCTCTAGCTCGCACTTCCTATCCTTTCACCGAGTTGGGCTGGCCGAGGGTGACGGAGTTGTACTCCAAACAAACGCTTCCTGGGAAGTTCCCTAAGCCCAAAGTAGGACACGTGCTTTTCAGGCTTCCCACTGGATCCTTCTTTACAGGAGTGCAAAGACGTCTGGCTTCAGGACTAGCCTACCTAGACTTGCTTGCTTATGCTTGATCAGTTAGAAAAATTGATTATGGTGATGACGACATACTCTAGTTTCCCACGTGTTGATTTCCAGGGATCAGATTGTTGATCTCCTCTGTTAGCAATGTTTAATAACACCTGCAAAAGAAACGTGGTTGTAGCAACACCCAAGACAACTTTATCTCGCGATGAATGCAAGATGGGTATATTCAAACGAGTGCGTGCACTATTTCATGTATAAACCGACTGTTGATGAATTGGGCGCCCCAGAGCACAGTTCATTTCTGAGTGATATTTAGGACCATAGGGATGAATAGCCACTCACGAATCTGTATCTGGAAACATTCGTGGTACTGGTTTTCTTGTGGTTTTGTTTTGGTATTTTTGAGCAGTCTGCAAACGTTTCTGGAGGCGCCAGCATCTTCCTATTAGAATGGCTGGTAAAAAGTTTTAAATTAGTATATAATCGCACCTTCCTGTCTGAAACAACACAGCTCCAAAAAAGTTTTGGTTATATCCATAGCAGCTCGAAGTTTTGGGGAAGTGGTTCAGCTACTTTGTTTTCACCAAAAGCTGTATCTTTTTTCTCTTTGGCTCTTTAGTTCTCCCTCTCCACCCTTTATTCATTCAGCTTTGCCACTACTCATTAACTATTGAGAATTTACTGACTTTAATTGTGGTATAACTAAAAGCATTTGCAAAAAGCGTGTATATCAAATATGTCAAAATGTTTAACTCTAAATATGATTTCTGTACCTGGATAATCACAATGTGTCTTTGTAGAATGCATTTTTATATAAGTGTTTCAGATAGATTTTTATCAGCCAGGGTACTGTCCTCTGCGGTTTGCTACTTGCACAGAAGATCTGTTATTCATTAAATTGTTTTAAAAGGAATTCATAAGAGTGGTAATCAAATTTCCCATAGCAGCTCGAAGTTTTGGGGAAGTGGTTCAGCTACTTTGTTTTCACCAAAAGCTGTATCTTTTTTCTCTTTGGCTCTTTAGTTCTCCCTCTCCACCCTTTATTCATTCAGCTTTGCCACTACTCATTAACTATTGAGAATTTACTGACTTTAATTGTGGTATAACTAAAAGCATTTGCAAAAAGCGTGTATATCAAATATGTCAAAATGTTTAACTCTAAATATGATTTCTGTACCTGGATAATCACAATGTGTCTTTGTAGAATGCATTTTTATATAAGTGTTTCAGATAGATTTTTATCAGCCAGGGTACTGTCCTCTGCGGTTTGCTACTTGCACAGAAGATCTGTTATTCATTAAATTGTTTTAAAAGGAATTCATAAGAGTGGTAATCAAATTTCCAGGGTTTTTTTTTTTTTTTTTTTTTTTAAGTTGAAATATGAAGATTAAGAGGAAATTGAAGACAAGGTTTTGGAACAGCTACATTCCGCAACTTTATTTTTAAAAGTAGCTGATGGTCCAGATAAACGAATTTGTCATGTTCACTGTTTTCCTTATTCTTCATCTGACAGGGGGCTCATTTTGGGAAATATCTTGGCAGATGTTAATCTTCACGTTTTTTCTGGCTGGTTGTGCTAAAATGATTTTTCAAGGGCTTTTTTGCTTGTTTGTTTTTTTAAACACGACTAATGTTTGTTGGAGGAATGAAGTAAGGTGTATCTTGTGTCCTAAGAAACATCCTTTGTTAGGACTCTGGCTTTGAGTAAGGGAGCATAGTGCAGAGAATGTAGATGACTCCCCACTACAACTGAGTCTAATACTTTGGAATGTTTTTCGTTTGGGTGTTGGCAGCTCCTAAATTTAATCTTCCTTAAAAACAAACAACCCAGGGTACCATTTTTCTTTTTTCTTTTTTTGCCTGTGGAATTTGAACCTTTTTTATTGAATAGGGAATTGAGCACTGCTTTCTCTTAGTGGTAACTATGGCTCTGTTTTAAGCTGTAGGACTCAACAAAACATGGTAATGTTTTACCACAGTGTCTCATTAACAGGTATAATTTCTGAGTGGTTCCTTCTCACATTTTCAGTCTTTTAAAAATAAGTTTTCAGATTATTTTAAAGTAAAATATACGTTGCAAAAACATATATCATAATGGTAGACCTTTTTATTACTATTTTTTAGTTTTGCTACAGGGTTCACAGGTGTACTCATTGGAGAAAGTGAGAAATCCCACCCCCTCGGATTGATGGCCACACCTCAGTCCCTTCCTCCGTTCTCCTCTGGGGATTCCTGACACATTTGCACACACACTTAGCATGTTCTTCAAGCCACCAGATCCAGGACTCAAACAACCACAACAGTCAGCCCTGTGGGATCCAGCCGCCCCAACTACCACACAACTGGCTAGTCCCATTTTCTTATCTTTAAATTGTTGATTTTTGGGGCCAGCAGGTAATGTGGACTCTGGCCAACTGTGGTTCGAGTCCTGGACCCTGTGACTTGCTTTCTCATTCTCCCTGTCCCAACCTTCTCTCCCTCTGCCCCTCTCTGGTCAAATTAAAATAATAAAGGGGACCAGCAGGTGGTATGGTCATTAAGACGCTAGACAGTCCTACATGGTCGACCATGGTTTGAGTCCCAGATCTGGTGACTTGCTTTCTTTCTCTCTCTTCTCTTTCTCTCTGGTCAAAAAAAAATTTAATGGGACCAGCAGTTAGCTGGTTATGTGGCTGGACTCCCGTGTAGTTGACCGTGGTTCTAGTCCCGGACCCGGTGGCTTAAACTCACACCGGGCGCGTGTGTATGCTTGCCCAAGATCCCGAGAGGAGAATGGAGGAGAAGGGATTGCGGCATGACCATCCCCCCTATTTTTAAATAATTATTTTATTTTATTTATTTATTTTAAATATGCTGTAGAGCATGTGTGTTCATCAGAGAGACAGAGATGGAGGGAAAGTGAGAAAACAAGCCACCAGGTCTGGAACTTGAAATGGTTGGCCATGTGGGATTCCGTGCCTTAACCACCATGCCACTTGGTAGCCTCATAAATATTGATTTGGTTATTTTTTAGAATTGTGTGCTATTCATCTAGTATTTTTTAAAATAAATCTAAAATTTAACTTTATTTTACTTATTCATTTTAATTTGACCAGAGAGGGACTGAGTGAGAAAGAGAGATAGAGAGAAAGCCACCAGGACTTGAACCACAATTGGCCATGTGGGAGTCTAGCGCCCTCTACCACTGTGCCACCTGCTGGCCCCTCATCTAGTAGTTTTAATGAGGAGAATGCCAGCTGCTATAGCATTTCTTGTGTAATATAACTTAGCCCTTGTGTTTTGAAAAAACATATTTTATAAGCTTTTTAGTTATGAAAATATTGTAAAATGATGAAAATCTGTCAACAGTCAAAAATAGACTTGCATTTTATCTTGAGTAAGACTATGATTTTCAGACAGTATTCCCAGCCAAGTTTATATTAATAGATTAACATGTAGTTTGTATGTAGACAGCCTATTTTAGTGGTTGACAATTTCTTTCAGAAGTACTTATTAAGCATCTGTATAACACATTCATTATGATTTTAACTCATTTTACTAGTTGAAAAGTATTACATGTTATTGTTATAAAAGTACCTGATAGCTGCTAAAGATACCAAAATCAACTAGAAGATAGATTTAGCATGGAAGCAGGTCAAAAACTGAAACTGGCTGAGGAAGGTTGGAGAGAGAGTGGATTCTGTGTTTGATGACTCTGAAAGTCCAAATATCCAGTGTTTAATGGGGTATACCTAAGTTCATCTCATTTGCTAAGAGACAAAACAAACAAATAAACAAAACCCCTATTTTCTCAGGTTTTGCTTTTTCTATTTCATTTGGGTAATAATTAGCCTGAATTGGACAATTTGTATGAGACCTATGCTCTGCCGGTAGTTTCTGTGGATGCTTATCTCATCAGTCAGATGTTTGTTGCATGTCTGTGTACGAGACACTTCCTAAGCACTGGAGGAAACAAGAATAAAGGAGTTTATTCTCAAGGAACAGGGATGTAATTTAGGAAGAAGCCTAGACATAATTATGTGAAGAAAAAATAAAACTACTGGGTTAACTGTTTAAAGATCACCTTAACGCAGCCCGTAACTAATTATTTATTAGAAATATTGTGTATTGGGAGCCGGCAGGTGGCATGGTGGTCGAGAGCACTGGATTCCCACACAGCCAACCACGGTTCAAGTCTTGGACCTGGCAGCTTGCTTTCTCCCTTTCTCTTTCTGTCTCTCTCTGGTCAAATAAAAAAAAAATGATAATAATAAAAAATTAAATCAATAATTCTTTAAAAAAATATTGTGTGTTTGAGGCCAGCAGGTGGGTTGGTGGTTAAGGCACTGGACACTCCCACATGGCTGACCACAGTTCAAGTTCTGGACCTAGGGGCTTGTTTTCTCACTTCTCTGTCTCTCTTTGTATCTCTCTCTGGTCAAATGAAGATAAATGAATGAATAACTAAAACTAGATACCTCATTCTTTTTTAAAAAAGAAATACTGTGTATTTTGCGCCAGCCTGTGGTGTGGTGGTTATGGTGCATGGATTCCCACATGACTGACTGTGGGTTCAAGTCCCAAACCAAGAGGCTTGAAAAACAGAATAGGTGTGTGTGTGTGTGTGTGTGTGTGTGTGTGCGTGCGTGTGTGTGCGTGTGCGCATGTCCAAAATCCTGAAGGGCAGTTGGGGGAAATGGAGGAGAGGATTGTGGCCTGACCATTCCCTGGTAGGCATGGTGGCTGACTGGTTTCTCATTTTCTCTTTCTT